CAAATTGCCAAAATAGCATCCGAATCATTACTTGAGTTGACATCAGAATGAGTCACTGACAACACAGCTTACACTGTTGACTTAACAAGGCTTATGATGTTCACCGTTGGCAGAGATGTCTCTTGAGTTCTCACAACTTGCTGAATGCCGTTTGTCAAACTGCCAAATGCGTCCCATAATTTCTCTGACAAATCCACGATATATCAGAACGGAATAAAACTCAAGGAACAAACGCATATAATACTGCTTAATAAGAATCTATCTCAGCAGACAAAAATAGTCTCAATACGACATGAAAATGCATGACGTAGTGTACAGCATACCATTGCCTAGGTAAATTTAGGCATTTATATGAAAATTGATATGGATAATGGATTACATATGATTCATGTCCATTGTTAGATTGAGAACTGTCTTATAAATATCCAACTTACCCACTCTATTGGCAGATGTTAGCTTTTAGATGTCATCAAAGAAAATTGAATGACTATTGTGTTGCTGAACTCTTTCTTTACCATGAACTCCATTGAGTCTGCAGAAAGTAAAGATGTCAATCGATGATTATCAAGAAAGTGAAACATTCTGTCCTGTATTGCAGATTGTATTACTTTATTTAAAAAGAAAGGCTTGACTGGTTTTTAGTAAATGCCCATGGATCCTCAGAGGGTAAATAAACTATCTGTAAAATAGAACCACGCTATGCTGCATCCACATTCCCTATCAAATTGCAGAATATTCAAACTTTTGTCATCTTCAACATCTATCCTCAAACAAGTGCATGTAATAGCAAGGTTGGTACTGGTCAATAATTCATAAAGCAGAAAAGCATACCCTAAATTATGAGCCTCATTTGTGGAAAAACATCACAAAGGTTTTACTAAACATGCTTAAGACTCTTGATTCGTGCAAGTCAAATTTTCTACTCTCATAATTAATGCTCTTAAGGGCCTTCTCAAGAACAAAATGGGTTGTACAAGCACACACTCTAGGTAGCAGAAAAGCAGACTTACCTCGAACATGCTATTCCAGGTTAGTCGTATTCCAATGTGCTAATGGCTGCAACCAGTCTATCATAAGCACTTTGAATTTTATGTCCTTCTTCAATTGACATGGTAATATCCCCAGAAGACTGCAAACACAAAATTGATTACATGCAACGAACATCAAAATGAAGCTTAATGCTGGTCGAATTAACATAGAAACAGCAAAGTATTCCCCCCATTTCCTCTCTTTTTCCCTTTTGCACTGACCAAAACCAATACAAAAAGTTATGTTCATCAATCTTTTTGGAATTAGTTCTTAGCATAACATATAGCAAGCACCATTGCACAAATACAAAAAGTAAATGATCCTTTCTTCCCTTCACCCGGGGGGGGGGGGGGGTTTATTAAACCTGAAAGAGAAACTTTTACTCTTTGTTGAAGACATAATTATGCAGATAAATGTGTACTCCCTCTAACAGCTTAAGCATTTAGATGAGATGGTCACACATTATTCAACATTGAATAGAGTAGGCAGATGTCCTGGATTCGAGTCTTACCGCCACCTATTATCAAAAAGAATTTCCATGTGCTTGGCCCATGAATAAGAAGCAGGCTCGCATGTGAAGGGGCATGCTGACACATAATTAAGCAGATAAAACTATACTCTCTAAAATAGTTTAAGTTTTTAGATGAGATGGTCACACACTATTTAACACTCTTGAAAGCTTGAAGCAGCACTAAAGGCCCCTCTTTTTAAAAGTTTCGGTTTATCAATTTACACGGTTTAAAAGGGACAAGAGCTAGCAACACTTGCAGCTCTTGAAGTTATTATGCATCCAAAAAAACATTTATAACCAAGATTCTGGCAAAGTAAAACATAGGGACCAGTAACCTTCATAGTATAAATTACAAAATGAGTCGTACTATATGCTAGCTCGGTTGAGAATTGAAAAGCTTTCAGCTCAGAGTTTGACGTCATACCTTTAGCGTGAGCATGCTTTGTAATATATTCGTAATCTCTGTCTTGCATGACAGAAGAAGTTTCTGCATCTTAACATCCCCATGCATAAGCAAGAGAACAGATGCTATAGAAAGAATTCTGCTTGAATGATCCTTCACCAAAGCACCATCCTGATGAGGCAAAAGCGCTGAAACACTGGCACTGATGAATGATTCAATCACTTTCAATATCTGATTTAACAGTATGTTACTCCTATCAAGTAGGAAAAAACCAGGAAGGAGGTAATAATGCCTCGTCTGTCGAATCAATATCTTAGAAGACTCATCATCTTCCTCTGGAATATGCTACATCAAAGTTAAAAAACAAACAAAAAGCCATGAGTTGAAGATACTACAAGCAAATGAAATTAAGAGCGAAATCCCACCAAGAATGCAAATTAAGAACAAGTTCCTACCAACANGGGGGCCAATCTCAATAAAGTCAGAGTTAGAAGTTGTCATTCTTGTAAACCACAATTCAACGGTAGAGAATTATCTAAGCACCATAGAAAGATGAAGCAACAAGTAATCAACTGATCTATAACAAACAGTTTATGAAGTTACAGGAAACTAACCAGCGATAAATACTTACAGTCATAACATCTAAGAAGTACTCCGGAAGGACATAGCTTAATCTATTTATTGTCTGCTCGGAAAGTCTTGTAGGTTTTGAATCCAGTGTGATAAGCAATCTTATAAAACCATATATGTTATCTACTGGTCGTTTGTGAGACTGCAGAACAAATAAAACCAAGAGCTCAGTGGCTGGAGAAATATTACGTTCAATTATCACAAAATAAAGCACTATCAATACAGTAACTCTTGCTGCTTAACTCACTATCGCATCGAGAACAACTTTCTCCAGCAACTGCAGAACGAGCACATCATCTCCAATCTGCGACAAACAAGAACAAACAACCCTAACAACTGATTTGAAGGTTCCGCGATTTGACTTCCCTTCATGCTTCTTAGTAGGATCGATTTTTTCTGCAGAAAAGCATCCAGGTTCCTGATTTAATTTTTATAAACTATCGGTCATAGCAAAAGAACAAGTAATGTGATGTCTGAAAGAGAAAGTACTTTTGCATCAGAAAAGTGAAAGGACTTCTTAGTTATACTCAAATCTCAATACCTGTCAATTTCTTTGCAGTAATCCTTCTATCAGTTTCTCTTCTTATTGAATGTTAAATTGCTAATCAATAAACTAGGGAATCATTCTGTCTTTTAGTCTAATAACATCATTATATGCAATGTAACACACTGACCATAACATTTGCTCTGTTTCTCTAAAAAGGGCCTGATTTGCCCCTCTACTTTCATTTATTGTTCAATCCTGTCCCCCCGTTAAAACTTTCCGTTCAGATATACCCCTTCCGTGCGTCAAAGTTCTATATTTGCCCCTATTTTAACGGCAAGACACATGACGCCTTCTGAGAGATTGAACCAACCCAACATTAAAAAAAAAAAAAACAATCCGACTCGTTACCCAGAACCCGGCCGACCCTATTCCCCTGTTTCTCTTAAACGCTGCACAATCATAAGCCATAGCAGCATCCACGTCAGCATCAAACATTCCTAACCAAATCCTCGACCCTTTTTTATTAGGATCTCTTATCTCTGTTGCAAATTTACCCCATGGCCTTCTCCTTACTCCTCTGTAATTCTTCTTATTTTCATAATTATTACTAGTTGTATTTGTTGAAATAGTTGAGTGGAACTAACAGAGCTGTCGAAAGTTGGGCTGAGATTAGTGTCTGAGTTTGTTTTGAATTCTGGGAAATCGCTGAAGTAATGGGAAATTGGTTTTGTACGATGACGGAGAATCTGAGAGTGAATGATTGGAAGTAGAAAGCTCTGTTTTTGCTGAGGTGAAAACAGGGGAGATATGATTGGAAAAGCACTATATGGTTACCATTTATGCAAATTTGAATCTCTACTCTGAGAGCTGTTGACATTGTTCTTGAATTATATGTAGAATTTTCACGTGCTAATTAATTGGTTTTGATAGATTTTGAGGAGTTCCACTTCAATTTAAGATGGTGAATTTGGGGTTGTTTTCTGGGAACACGCCTTTGAAGTCAAGGAAGGTGAGTTTTAGAATCCCATATTATACTCAGTGGGGGCAACACCTTCTGATATGCGGCTCAAATGCATTGCTTGGTTTATGGAATGTGAAAAAGGGTCTATTATTGAAGCCTTCTCACCAAGGGGAAGAACTGATATGGTCTGGAAGCATTGGGGTATGACATAAGGGAACCTCTTTACGGGGGATTTGTTTTTAAGAAGAGTAAGAGGGGAATAGGGTCGCGCAGACTATGGGTAACGAGTCGAGTTGGTTTTTTTTAATGTTGGGTTGGTTCAATTTCTCAGAAGGCGCCATGTGTCTTTGCCGTTAAAATAGGGCCAAATATAGAACAAGGGTATATCTGAACCGAAAGTATAACGGGGATAGGATTGAACAATAAATGAAAGTAGAGGGGCAATCAGACCATAAATGAAAGTAGAGGGGCAATCAGACCCTTTTCCGATAATTTTTGTTTATATATGATTCAGTTGTTAATAATAACCATTAGCTATAAACACCATAAGCGTCAACTACATATCGCAAAATAAAAGTATTGATCCTGGAGGAATATACCCCTTTTCATTCTTGCAATCATCTTCAACAGCAAATTCAAAGATACTGTGTTAAAGATATATGTACATTTTATAATATTAAAGAGGGAATAGTTAATTTGGCAATTTTTGTCAAAACCGTAGTTATTATGCAGATCACATATAATGTTAAACATTAGGGGGAAATATAACATGGTAATTATAGAAACATTATTTACTGTAAAACTATTTAACAAGGGAAGCTAGGCTTGTCACTTCTATGTTATATTAAACTAGAGGAGATGTATTAATACAGGAAAACCCTCTACACTTTAGTTTGGTACTTTGGTTGCAAGCAAGAAAGAGGATGCTTCTTTTCCTACAACAGAGAAATCACATGTTCAATTGGTCCAACAGAATAAATCATTTCCGGAAAAACTTGATTCCTTTAAGAACTTTGTGCTTCCATCCATAGTAAGGAGCANAAAGCAAAGTGATGAAGAAGCTAATATAATCTGCAATCTGGATATGGCCAGCTTTGTAGGATGACTGCAGAACTTCTATTATTCGGAAAAGGATAAATGGTTCCAACTCGTGGCCTGCATTAAAAGCACATAGACAAAATAATATCATGAGGATGACTGCTAGTACTCATACAAGAGAGAAAAAGCAAAATGATATCTATTTGTGCTTCCTCGATTATATCTTGACAGAACATCTTTTGTAACTACACTTTTAGATAAGTACCAAAGAGAACTCCATTTATTTATTACAGTTATATCTTTTGATAAGATTTATTTATTAAAGGTATATCATTTTCTCCTGATACAAGATAACGTTTATTTAAAATTTGTTTGAACCAAATCAAACCATAAGGTCTTTCATTAGAACCACCACAGCCTGAAAGAACATGGACCAAACTCTTATCAACTCAGGTCCAAATTTACAGTACATACAAACACACTGACGCATTGGTAACACCCATGAAAATCCAATATAAGATTACGAGGAGATCAATGAAAACCTTAAAAAAAATCTTCTGGTTATATGCACTAACAAACTCCATTAAAAAGGCTAACAATCGATGACCATATTCTGGAGGAAGAAGATGAAACTCACGATGACATAATACAATATTATCAACACTTGCGATGAGAACGTGGATTGGAGACAACAGTCTGTAGGAAATAGACGGATTAGGTTGACTGAAAAGGAATGCTTGAGCTTCCATTTGAGGATAAGAGATGGAAATAGTGGTGAAGAACTATTCTCGATAAAGGCACCAAAACTGATGGCCTCAATTTAGCTTTCTCTCAGCATTGCTGGAAAGTGATGAAAATTGATGTTATGGACATGCTTGAACCAGTTTGATCAGAGTGGTACTTTTGAGAAGTGTTTAAGTTCTACTTTATGTTTATTGTGTTGATTTAGAAGAAAAGAGGTGCAATACATGTCAAATAACTTTTGGCCTTAGTCTGGTGGGTGATGATTTTATAAGATCATTGCAGAGGTGGGAACTATATCCACTTCACGAAACCCTTCCATCAGAGCGAAACAATTCTTGGATACCAGTCATATGGATTCTAGATTGAGTGGGGTACCAGGCATGATGTGTAAACTAGACATAACTCGGGAAAAGCGGAAGAAATGGATTCATCAATGCATCTTCAGATGAAATTCTCCATACTTGTTTTATGGTGAAATCATATCACATTCACCTGTTCACAGGTAACACAAGTCCCTTTTGAACATCATGGAGATCTAGCGTATAGGAAAAGGAAGCATTCTTCATGTGCTGTGCAGTGGCGATGCTACTTTGACAGTACGCAACTTAAGGATAGAAACATGAAATTTTGTTAATTCTTGTTGCATGTAAACAACACGGAAAGGAAACTTATCACCTTCTATTACATTTTCTGTTATGAAGTTATGGGCATCTATAAATTCTAGTTTTAACATTCAGTGAGTTCGTCATTTGGCAGAAATGTTAAATTCAGGTAGGCTAGGAAAAAGAAGTTATGCAAGACGACAAACTTCATATATTTTTGTTAAAACGGAGATGGAGAGAGAGACAGAGAAGGCGTTAGGAATTTATTTTTGCGAGTTAAGAGAACTGTGTAAGAGGAATCGCCTTTTATAAACAGTAGGCTAACCTTTAGGAGGCTTAATGCAAACTTGTATCATATCACCTTTTTTAAAGATAACACCAACTTGGTGTACGTTAATGAATACTTCTGATTTATCAATAAATAAGGTATGCACTACATTTTCCTAGTTTCACGTTCTACAGCAAAGGGAACTCACATGGACAAATATTTCCCTCCCCACTGCAAGTCTACCAAAATGTAAAGTATGCAGCAATAAATAAACCTCAACTATCTGAAGTTCTAGCTGCAAAACAAACTAATAAATGCTTAAGAACCTACAGAAGGAATTTTCAAAGGCCATACTTTAGTCTGGTTTTATAAAGATCACAACCTTCAAATCAATATATAAAAGGCTCCAGAGGAAAAGACGTGAATGGGTTAGTGATGCGGGCTGGAAAGGTAGAATGGGTCGGTACTCTTTTAACAATCATAGGGTCGGGAAAGATTTCAGCAAGCATAGTCCCTGGGCCTCCACACATGGGCCCAGCAACTTTTCCCAATTCTATTAGAATCGATCCAAAGGGCCCCAATTTATATCAAGCTGCGTCCGATAAGGCTCCTAAACATATGGGAGCAGTCACTCCTCCTTCTTCTGCCAATGATGCCTCACACAGTGTTATTTCTTCACCAAGCACTAGGGACTTGTGCCCAGTGTTTTTAAGAGCGAGAAGCGCAAAAAAGCGACAAGGGCTCGCCTCGCTTCAAAAGCGAAGCGCAAAGCGAAACGCACGCTTTATTAAAGTGAAGCGCAATTCTTAAAAAATATAATGTAAACCTTGCAAAGACACAATATAAAATTATAAATAATCAAAAAGTTCAAATTGTCAAAATCAAAGCTACTAAATTACTAGAATCAACCTCTTATTCTTCTACTCTTCTTGTTCTTCTTCAAGATTGTCAAAATCTTGAATTCCTCTATTATCTTCATATTGCTCGTCATCTTCCTCCTCCCCCTCCTCTTCCTCTTCATGATCACTTTCATCTTCATCAATTAGGGATAGGGATCGACTTGTGGTAGCCACACTTTTTCCCTTCCTAATCGAGCTTGAACTTGAAGTATTCCCCCTTAAACCATAAGGATTCTCCCCAACTCCACTAGCAACCGCAACATCACCCCAAGTGAAATTAGAATCGCCTTCAAATACTTCTTCATCTTCACAATTTTCGGGGACTCCGGTTAGCCACTCATTAGCCTCATCAATATTGTCCAAAAGAATTGGATCAATTAGATTGCGGTGGTTGTAGCGACGCCTCAATGCTCTATTGTATTTTATGAACACTAGATTATGGAGGCGCTTCAAGGTTAGTCGATTCCTCTTCTTTGTATGAATCTGCAAACAAGATGTGTCAACTAATTAGTAGGAGTTGGGACAATTGAGATATAATTTACTTTATCTCAAAACACGAAATAATTCTTTTTATTTCTCACGTGTTCAAAAACGCTCCAGTTCCTTTCACATCCGGATGAGCTACAAGTTAAACTTAGAACTCTG